AAAAAAAAAAAAAAGAAAAGAAAAGAAAAGAAAAGGACAATGAACATTTTTACAGAAGCCTCAGTTCATCAGGAAATATTTTCATTCAACCGCGCTTCCGTTAACGAAGCTCAAGATTATTAAGCTCGACGCTGCCCTGAAACGCTCAAGGGACAAAAGCGCTTAAGCTTGTCTCGCTTCTATCAACTACCTCCCCTCCCTCCTTTCCCCTTTCCCGTCGTTCCAACGATCGAACAACGAAAACAGCAACGAAAAGAGAGCACGAGGGGAGGAACGAAAAGGGAAATAGCTAACCAGCGAGAAGAAGAAAAAGAGGAAACGTCTCTCCTCAGTTTTCTTTTTTATCAAATCAAAGGAAAAAGAAATCTTCGTCGTCGTAAGCAAAAAAAATACCATTTCAATCCATTTCCATCTCGAATCAGAAAAAATACAATCCTGAATCCAGTATTTTTTTTTTTCACTTCACGAATATTATTAGTCAGTCAGAAATAACAATAACCCTATCTTGGCTTAACTACGTTAACGGGGATAGAGATCAAGATGTACGAGGAGGAGGATGGGGAAGTGAAATGTCGAAAGGAACGAGGCTGGGATCGGTGTATATCGCTAATTAAAATCTGTCGCCTGGTCCATGACCGTTGGAGGGTGAAAAGGAATAGAAAGGGGAGGAGAGAAAGAGAGAGAGAGAATACGCAGAGAGGGTGCACGAAACGTCCAGCGTCATTGGAACACAAGCATAGGCGAGCGAAAACGTCGAAATCGCGCTAACGAGAGGATTCGTTATATCGAATGGAGGAATATAAAGAACTGTCGTTATCGCGCGCCTTCGACGTGTCCCTCGGCCACGAATGCGAACACGCTATACGAATATACATATATATATATATATATATATATATGTATATATGTATATATATGTGTATATATATATATGTGTGTGTATATACATGCGCTTGCTCGGTCGGTTTTTTAATCGAATTTCTGCCTCCACTTCCGGCTTATCTCGCGAGACGTATGTATAACGGTATCGGTTTATTAACTTTATGCACTCCAGCCCTTTCTCGTTCGGCCAACAACTTCACGCGATTTTCTTAGCTAACTTAAAATGATTTCACGCGCGACTGAACATACGAAACTTTTGTATTCTAATATTTTGTGTATTTTGTGTTTACGCGTAATGAAAGAAAATTTCGAAGTCGAATGTTAAAGTCTATATTCTTATTTTTATATATTCATCACCATTGTTTTCATCGGTATTTTTCCTTCTCTTTATCGTCGATTTCTTAACGAATAGAAATAATTTCGTCGTTCAATAACGAAAAATTAAACTCGAACTAATTTTATTTTACCGTGTTCCATGTTTACAAAACTTCCATGCTCGAAAACATTGAAAATAATATTTCTATTCCCACTGACCGTCAAACTCGGACCAATGGCGAAAATGTAATTCGATCCGCGATCTAATTTGAGATAAAGACCTAAACATTCGACAATATATTATGTTTCTACGCTTCGCAAGGTTACACGTAGAGCTCAGGAATTTATTCTATATAAGCGATATTTCAAAAGAGTCGTATATAAATAGTGAAAATAAATGGAAGTCACCATTCGAGCGCAAAGAGTTAATTTATCAAAATAAAATTTTTTCAAATGTGCAAACGATCATTGAATTCTCTCTTTCTCTTTCTATTTCTTCGTTCTACAGAAATTATCCCTTCGAAATTTATGAAAATAGTATAGGAACGAATAAATCGAGCAATTTCTACACTCTATAAGATTACACTTAGGAATCTATTCTATTAATATATGAAACGATATTTTGGAACTGAGGGTACTTGAAAGCTACCATTCGATGGCAAAAGATTAAAGAACAATAATGATTATTGAATTCTCTCTCTCTCTCTCTCTCTATATATATATATATATATATATATATATATATATATATATAAATAGATAGATATATATATAAATAAATAGATAAATAGATAGATATATAAATAGATAAATAAATACATAGAGAGAGAGAGAGAGAGAGAAAGAGAAATTAATAGATAGATAGATACAGAGAGAGATATCTTCTTGGATCTCTCTCTCTCTCTCTCTC